CCGTTCACGGGAGGAAAACAATCACGCATTCATATAGGTAGACCACCGAAAGGTAAAAAAACAAATGGGATCCCAGTTTCTATAAACAGAAAGCAAAACAAATTCAAACCGTGTACAATCTACTGTTACATGAGATAGCGAGCTTCCTGTGACCGACCTCTCCATGTCCCTTAGCCGACGATGGTCTGGCACTCGGCCTCAGACTTGTTCAGCTCTCCAATAGCCTCGGCCTCACAGCCGGCAAATCCGACAACTTCGAGGAAGATTCCGATAGGACCACTAGCGGCAGCAAGACCTAGCGCAGCGGCACCGCAGACCGCAATCTTTCCTACAGCAGACGTAACGGCGCCAGTCTTGCATTGACTGCAGAGGGTGCCACAGTTCGTTTGTCCGAGGCGACGGCCCTTGCCACCTCCATTCTCGATAGCCTCCATGGCAGCATTGCGAGCTCCCTGGAGTCTGTCTTGGGACTGCTTGAGTCTAGGGTCCTGGCGGGCGATGAACTGGCTAGCGCCTGGCCCCTCGTGGTTGGCGATGGCGGGGCTAGGGGCAGCCATGCTGGTGGCGGCAAGAAGAGTGACGAGAATGGCAGAGGCGTGCATCTTGAAAGTGTTGGTGTTGGTGGTGTTGTTGGTAAAAAGAGGGTTGGTTTTGAATGAGTGTAGGTAATGAATGTTTGAAGGAATGAGCTGAATGGTATTGTAGTATGGAATGATCGTGATGAAGAAAGAAGTATGTACCTTTGGACGGGGGAATAACTTGATCCTTTATACTTTCCAAGTCCACCTCATTCTGGTGTCTTTCGGATGGTCCAATGGCCCGTACGAAATCACTCGCATGTTGTCCCGTCAACATCTCAAGACGTAATAACACGGCAAGACCGATTTGTCTGCTCTATGCATCACTCTGTATAGTGCCTCGTGATCTTTGAGTCTTGGCTGCGACGGAAGATGAACTCTCAAAGGAGGCAGAATTCAGAAGGACCAGAGCTTGCTGTGTGAGATTCTTGATCAGGCCTAGTTCTGGGTCTTGGCGAGGAAGCTCAGGAATCTGGAAGAATCATGGTCCTGCCAAGGCATGCTCAAACCGTCAGATCTGTGTTTCCGGGGTCCCCGGCGCTATCAGCAGGTCATACAGCGATAGAAGCGGCTATTAAAGTTAGACATAAAAGTCTAGAATGCAGTTGCCGTGCGATTAGGTATATGTGGATGACATCTTCCCGATAACCCGTGCAGCGGATGAGCCCTCCTGCGGGCCGTGTTTGCGCTAATTTGTCAAAGTATATATAGTCGTAAGGTTGACTCGGAACGACAGTTTCCAATTCATTTTAGATCCGCTGATGTGGATAGGGCCATTGGGCGAGCCGCGAGACTTGATCGAGACGGGCCGATCAGGCCGAAATACCCCGACCCTCAAGGGTCCTGGCACAAGGTAAGGATGGGGTAATCGAAGAGTAGTTCCCTAATCTGCACAGTATGCTATCGTCCGTGCGGTGGCATGAGAACTGAAACACTATAAATAGGCTTCCGCTGTAATTGATGGATCTTGTCACATGTGGGTGAGGCCATAAGCTACCAGTATTGACAGGTAGCTATTATGTAGATTTGTTATCTTGCCGTTCGGCATCGGATCCTGTATTGATTTGAGGTCGTCTACCTTAATTCAGGGCGCCGGAAGCATACAAGTTCATCGCAATCTGTCGCAGGATCGGCAACGGGAACGATGCCAAGTAATGGGATCCCGGGCGAACTATAATTTTCTAGATAGGCTCGGTTTCATCCCGGTCATTGGCCGAAAAGTAACGTAGTTCTGCAAGACATGATAGCCGCACGTCACATGGAATGTCTCTCAATAGTACATACTATTTACTTCGTCCAGTACCTTGTTCACATCGTAATAAGCCACAAGAATCTTGACTGACGGCGTCCATTTATCGCAACGTACATTTGATCAAGGAGCAATCCGCATCAGCAGCCTCGACGCCCAATTGCCGCCATGCAGAGGAAAACTGTCAAACGAGTAAGGTCAAGCAATTTTCGGGGCCAGGCCTGTGTCCATTCCGCACAGCTTAGGCCCATACCTTAGTCATGAGTCCAAAGAACTATCCGTAGACTTCCTCTAGACCCACAAGGCTGATGTCTGCAGGGAAGTGAGCTTTGACCCACACGCTAAACGACACTGGACTCGTTCTGGATGGAGGTGTGGGGCCCCGATCATCTGCATGTGCCCGGTGTCCAGCAGGGATGTCACTCCCTTTGCTATTGTGTCCGACAACACTGCCAGGGTCCAAGGATGTGATACTCAAATGGATTTCGATTATAGTTGAGAGCTCTGTCCTACGGCCCTCGACGAGGATTTCAGCATACTACCGGCTATAGAGGGAATTCTAGCCTTATCTCAACGCGTTACGAGATCAATTCCTATTGCGGGCGTCTGGCAAGACGATTTGGGGCTTGGCTTGGCCAAGAAATCCTGTGATATTCGTCGAATTAGTGGGCGTGTTAGGCGAAGCCTACATCAACTATTTCGTGAGCAATTGTCAATCAAACTTTTGCACGCATGCTGGCTTCATGGCTTCAACTGAGTCATACTCTAAAGTATGCTTCTAGTCTGATTGCAAGGCACAAGATGGTAGACCATACACGGACATAATTATTTAGAAGTAGAGAATGGATTCGCTTGCCTTGGTGCACGCGTTTTCCAAGCTACCCAAAGTTATTCCGGGCACTTTAAGAAGTATGGGTCTGCTGATATCTTGAGTGCAACGATACCCACAGACCTAGGCGTACGGGTCAATGATCTTTTGTTTTCATGCCAAAGCTTAGATCAGAATTTTAATGCGGAGGCTGGCCAACGCATGAGAGAAGAGTGTAATTAATTTCATCTAAGCATCTTATTGTTCTACCTCAATCAAACTCCGTGCGAAGAGTGATCGTCAGACTCAGTCAAGTCGGCCATGTTAGGACTATGCGTTTCTTCTTATGGTCAACTGTTCCCAGGGGCAAGCGCCTACATTCTCTATTTTGCAAAGCTTGCCGTTCGCCTCATTAGATGGAAGATTGATGGTATGGCTCAGTTTCAGATTCAAGACTTCCTGTCATCCAAACATGCGTGACTTGTTAATAATGAAGTAGCTTGTGATGCTTGACTCCGGCATGTTGTCATATTGATGTCCTGAAAGTCATCTGTGCAGTTGTACAGATGACCGTTGATGAAATAAAAGGGGATCATGTTAAGAGATGGAATATAGCGCCACTCTGGAACGTAACAGTTACCATCCCCAAGCCTAACATGAGCTCAGGCTTGGTGAAATACCTCGGTTTAGTACGCTGATAGCTTTGTCAAGTTTTGTCTACCTTATTTTCACTTGCGGTTAATTTTCACTTGACGGAAGAAGATCGAGCCTGAGGAAGATGCAAATTGTCTATCTTTCAGAGGCTAGTTGCAATCTCAGTAGATGTGAGCCCTCCTTCTCACTCAAGTCTAATGACCGTTTGTATGTTGGAATATCTGGGAAGTGATCGTTAGGATCATCAAGCCCTTCTACAATAGCCCGTGGCCGGCCTCACAAGCCGTATCGATAATACTGTCGCTTGGACTCAGAGCAAGATCCAAACAAAAGCTCGACATCAGGCAAGTAACCATGTGCAGTCCCGGCTTTTAGCGCGAGATCAACTTCGGAATCATACCCGACATGTGACTCCTTTTCCGCTACCTTCGCCAAAAGCTGCCATGTCGAGAGATGGCCATTCCTTGCAGCTGCTTCAAGTCCCTTGTACTCACAATGTTTGCACCGCAGCTTAACAACGTTTCGACAATCTTTTTGTGCCCCTTTGAACTTGCAGCACGTATTGGTGCCCCGAATTGGCTGCTTTCTTCGATGTTCAGCCCTCGATCAAGGAGGAATCGCACCGTATGTAGATGAACGTCGAGCACTGCTGTAGCAAGGGAGTCATATGTAATTTCTATGATATTATCTCAGTGACGATCAATCAACCAACGGAGCCTGGATACCTGGCCCGCCATGATTACTGTCTCGACATTCTGTTCCGAGTGGGACTTCTTCCTGTCACTTTGTAGAGCTTGGAGCGCATTGACGGGCTTGACAGCTCCTGCGTGAGCCAAAATCTCTGTGGCCGATGCGATCTCATCTTGCTGGAGGATTGTAGCCATTATCTCTACTAGCCTAGTTGCGACTGATTCGTGACTTCCTCGGGTTGCAGCATGAAGAGCACAATTATGCACCGATCCCGAATCCTTCACGTGGCTGCACATCAATACTACTATAATTCGCTTTCGGTCTGCAAAACCATCCTAATTGCGACACCCAAATGAACATTGTGTTCCCTACTGACTCTTTTTCGTTGCCATAACGCTTCGGACACTGTGTTCCAGGTTCTCAACACCTCAGAGTCTTTGAATTAGTATGTATCCAGCATCGGGCTATACAAAGGACGAATGTCTAGAAGTCCTTGACCCACGATCTTTACGTGACTATTCATTCATAACTTAAATGAACTCTGGAGTTTCAATTGTAGCTAACTGGGCGAGCCAAATAAAGTGTGCAGATCGCCGAATAAGCCCAAGACGCAGAACGATACACAACCGAGATGCTAGAATTCTATTACGTTAATTTTATTGTAGATGGTTCACTGTTCTCCAAATTCCTCGATGCTGAGGTTTGTTTTGTTTATTGTTGAATCCCAAGAGCCTTAATATTCGCAAATGGGTGGGCCTTACGTATTGTATTGTTCAGATGTTTAATGGCTTTTACACACGCGGAGTTCGGCCTTTTCCCCTTTTGGGACCTGCTGGATACGAGGGCGTATTTCTTGTCCCCCTTTTTTTTTTCTTTTTTTTTTTTTCTGCGAGGAACTTTATTTTCTCGTGCCACCCCCAACTCCATGCCTAAGTATTCAGATAAAGTTTGGCTGTTCCGGTAGAATCAAGTACGGTCACCCGACATTTCAGAATTTCTCTACACCTTGAACATTCCTGCCATGACCAGACTGGCCAGTCCACGCAATGTGGAAACCACCATCAATTACTATCGAGATCCCGGCGATGGAAGTGAGCATGCACCAAGCATTGCGGGAAAACGAAGCACATTCACGCAGCCATCAGTCGACTTTGCCACTGTTATTCACGATATCACTGGGAACGAAAGCAGCTTCACTCTCGACAGCCATGGCTTTCAGTTCTGTCGCCACGCTAGTCAGTTAGTGGATTTTGCGAGTGATCAAGAAATAAAAGACGTTTATTACCCCGAGATCGAAAAGCTTCTATCGCAAATGTAGGTATTCCTTTAGGCCGTCGTAATCGGGAACATCCTTAATCCATACCTAGCACTGGCGCCTCACGGTTGCACATTTTCGACCACACCATTCGGAGACCGAATCCCTCAACCGTGCACTCTGATGATGAACGCCGACCAGTGAAAAGAGCTCACATCGACCAGTCAGAGTGGGGGGCTATGAACCAAGTTAAACGTCACTTGGGCGAAGAAGCGCCTCGACTATTGCAATCAAGATTCCAGGTTATCAATGTCTGGCGACCAATCAAGACAATCTACAAAGATCCTCTCGCGGTTTGTGACTCTCATTCCGTGTTGGACACAGACATCTTGCCGGTCAAGCTCATTTACCCGGACTGGGTAGGCGAACCATGTACAATTCTTCCCAACAGCAGGCATCGCTGGTACTATAAAAGCTTTCAAACACCAGAAGAGGTGATGCTTATCAAGTGTTATGACTGGAAGGCGGATGGGCGCGCTCGCAGGGTCCCGCATGCCGCATTTACGGATGCGGAAATGGTTGACAAAGACCCAAGACAGAGTATCGAGGTTAGGGTGCTTATTTTCCATGAGGAAGACATGAGTAAAGTCTAAATAAGTAAATTCCCGTTCTGTTCCATCGCTCTTGAAGTTCCCGCCTCATTTGGCCTATTTCGCTTCCGTCAACCTGGCAATCAGAGCAACGAGGGCCTTCGTCGGTCAGCATAGATGAGTCGCAAAATCCCAACGTCCATCCATGTGTGCTAGAACTTTCGAGCGGCTGATGCATCGAGTCACATTACAATGAGTGATATTCCCCAAACATTGGAGAGGTAAGTTATCCGCCAAGGCTCTCCTCGCTAATGAGAGTCAGTCGTTGTATTTCATGCTAGCAAAAGTTAGTTAGTAAGTGTGTGAATATATCAAATTTGTTGGTGCCACAGATGGTGCATCAAAAATCACACCAGCTGTCCTAATCCAGTTGTCTCAAAGCCCAATACCTGTACCGATTTTCTGCCAGATATTGCACCCTTGATCTCATAACTTATTGATGCCCAATAAAATTCACCCATACTACTAAGGACCTGAGATCTTGACAACTGGTGGCCCGAGCATTCGACGGTCGGGATTCGCCCGAAGTAGTAACCCGCCGCAAGCCATCCTTGAGCATTGTGCTTTTACTTTAGCCTCGTGATTCATTTCCGATGTTGTGTCCGTCTTCTGTCTCATTCGTCTGGCTTTCAGTCTGTTCAGTTCGTTTGCGATTCACAGTACCTCTTTATTTCAATATGCCGAATCCCGAGTCGCTGCCTGACAGGGTTGCTGAGGAGAATGCTCCTTTGCGCGTCATCTCCCTCCAGCAACTCATCGATGGAGATGAGGTGTGCCGTGAGCATTTGCTGAAAGCATGTACCGATCTCGGGTTTTTCTATCTTGACTGTCGGGAGGTTGCTTCTGGCCAGGTCATGGCAAATGTGCAATCCATGTATGACCTAGCCATAAGCTTCTATGATCTACCACAAGATGAAAAGATGGCGTGGCTTGTGGACCGGGATCATGACGAGCACTTAATCATGGGGTCAGTTCAATCTCCAACTAGTGCACTGCTTTTCTCAATCTGACGGTGGGTTGCCTTCTGCTGCAATAGATACAAACCAGCAGGGCATGGCAACGGGCCAGTCGAAGGAAAGAAGGACGGGTTCGAAGGGCTTATGGTGAGGCTCCGTCAAATTCCAACGTCTCGTACTCCAATTCATATAAGCAAAACCTAACTTGAGAAGCTTTTCGAACATCCAATCTCGAAGGTCAGCGATCCTTCGACTTTTCCAGGACCTAGTGTGATCGCAACACAGCTCGACGTGTTGAAAAGTGCTACAGCAAACTTCCGGGAAATCAGCATTCTCTTACTGTCTCGGCTTTCTGCCGCTTTGGGTTTGAATGAAGAGCTTGCTTATCAGCAATATCACCGTAAAAACGCCGTTTGCCCAACAGCCTTAGGGCTTCTCAAGTACACCCTCGCAGACGTTGAACCTGACAAAGTGGGCCAGATTGCTCATACTGATGCTGGAAGTCTCTCAATCATCTTCACCGAGGTTGGTGGTCTCCAGGTGCTAAAGCCGAATGAGGATCAGTGGTACTACATTGCGCCCAAGCCCGGGCATGCAGTTGTGAATGTTGGCGATGCGCTTCGCTTCATTTCTGGGGGAGTTTTGGAGTCGAGCTTGCACCGCATAATTCCCCATAAGGACGAAGTCACGCGTCACAAGTATTCTATTGTTTACCTCTTGCGACCTGAAATGGATGCAGAGTTCGTTGACTCGGAAGGTGTTACTTGGAAGGGCCTCGACTGGACGAACAAGAAACATGCCGTGTTTCGTGCAACAGCCGAGGAGCAAGCCAAGGGGACTTACTTGACTGGAAGAGAAGGATATGTTGGCTATTGGGATCCGGAGGTGGATAAGGAGAGTGAAACTATCATGGTATAGTTGGGGATCAGATGGCGTAACTACTCTGTCCTGCGTTCGATCGACAAGAATGGCATGATTTAGGGCATCAAGAACCGATGTGATTATTGTATATCGAAAGAGTACTCAGACAACCCTACCTCATTGACGCGATCCGTGGACTTCAATCCAAAGTTACAGGCGATAGCGGAAGGCCAAAATCCTGGGATTTTCGCTTTCCTTTTCTTCCCATTTTGCTTGATCCGTCTTTTTTCAGTATGCCAAATAATTGCAGAAGCAGAAGCCCTTTCAGCTTGAGTTTCTTGCCATAGGTTGCCGCCTGCTTCAATTGGCGGTGACATCCTGCCAATTGGTGGTTATTTCGTTAACATGTCGTGACTACTTGTATGCTATGATAAAAGCCATGTTCGTAGTTATTCTCTAGCTCATGCTGGAAACAAAGTTTGCAATAAGGTACTTCGCAAGCATTTAAAGCTGTGTTTCTGATTGAACAAGGAACAATGATTTATCACGAAAGCAGGCACACGGGACTTCCCCATCATCCGATACCTGATACATATCATGAGATGAAGTAGCTTATAAATATGGCTTGAGGGCTTTGACAATTATCAAGTGAACCATCATATGGAGATAGATAGATATTATAATATCTTGCATTCATTCTTGCCTGACGTAAGGGATGGTTAAATTAAGGTACTCATAGATAGAGATTGCCTCTAGCTTCTAGACAGAGAGTGCCTCTAGCTTTTAATAGTATCAAAAGGAGTTGATTTTCTCTTGCTTAGGAAAAAAGAAAAAAAAACCAGTGAATTGGAGCAAGGACAGATACTGAAATATCATATTCACACCAAGATTATCAGATTATTAGAAGCCAGGGGCATCAAAAACAACGGGAGCTGTCGACAGCAACCGAAGAAAGGAAAAAAAAGTTTTTACTGGTATTTTTTGAGTCACCTATGGAACAGGAGCTGAATCGCTACCGAAGGATTACGAGACAAACTAGAAATGCCGAAAATGGCAATACTCCGAACCGAACCTCAAGGCACGTCTCGGGGACAGAGCGAACGCACTCTTCCCTACGATAAGGTAAGAGCTCTACACTCCACCTCTCAGTCACATACGCCTAAGACCTGATTGAAGGCTCAGGTCAAACCTCCACTCTGTCGCTCGACTTTGCAGCTGTGACGACATTTGGCAGCACCTTCGCCACAACTTCGCAATGACTACACTCAATATCAAAGAAACGGACATCCCAAGTTTGGAAGGGCAGACTGCAATTGTCACGGGTAAATAACTTTGAGTCATTCCACTTGGTTCTCAATACTAATTACCATGAACACTTTAGGTGGTTCGTCTGGAATTGGATTGGCCACTGCAAAGATCCTGGCATCTCGAGGAGCTGGCGTAGTGATTCTTGATGTCTGCCAGCCCACAGAGACACTGCCATCATCTGTACAATTTCGCAAATGCGACATCAGGCGCTGGCTTGAGCTTTCCGATGCGTTCTCTCAGATAGGACGAGTCCATATCGCCATTGCAAATGCGGGAGTAGATGAAGACGGAACATATCTGAACGATGCGTACAACGACAATGGCGACCTGCTCGAACCAAATTACGATGTGGTTGATGTAAACTTCCGAGGCACTCTGAATTTTGTAAAACTTGCACTTCACAGCATGAAAAGAAACGGCGTACAGGGAAGCATTGTGCTGACATCAAGCGCCACTGCTTACTCCCCGGAACAGTCACTCCCTGTATACAGTGGGACAAAGGCTGCAGTAAGTAGAACCTGACCGAGCATAAATACAAGACTAACTAAATAAGCTGATCAATTACCTGCGTGCGATGCGCTCGAATTTACGAGACACTGATATTACGATCAATGCTGTCGCGCCAGCCGCAACTATCACCGGACTATTGCCGGCGAAGCTTGCTGCTCCAATAATGACTGCTGGCTTGCCAGTGAGCTCTGCGCATTTCGTGGGGCTCGCAGTGGTGTACTCCGCTGTTGCCACGGAAGCCAAGAAGGTTCAAACATATGGAAAGGATACTGCCGAGTGGAGAGAAACGAGTGGCCGTTGGAACGGCAGAGTCATTCTTACGTTGGGTGAGAGGTACACCGAGTTGGAGGAACCTTTGGCGAATTGTCGTAATACATGGATTGGTGCGACAAACTTGCAAGAGACTAGGTTGCAGCAAGCTGCAACAGATTTTAGAAGCTGTCTGTAATGAAAACTATACTCCATAGTCCTTTCCGGGCACGTATGTCTAGATCGAGTTCCCCAACCCGTCAATCTTCCTGTTTCTGGCGGCAGGCCTGGAAAAGTAGCAATGTGATGCTCTGAGCCATGCTTCTCAAATTCTCAAATCTCCAATTTGGGAGCACCAAATGCTCTCCAATTCCACATATAGAACATATTGGGGACTCGGCCAACTCAAAGCCAACAAACTTTGGAGAGGATCAACCGTCATTCATCATATCTCACATTTACTAAGAGTTGATTGCAACTATGAACTTATTGTCCCTTTGCCGTGAACATGACATTAGACGTGATGTCAGCCACGAACAGGTAATGACGCGTGAAATCATTTCTACTTCTGCGTCCAGGAAGAATCATGGTGCCTTAGGGCCTTCGGTCTAACCAACTGCCTCAGCAACATGATACCCCACATCGCGTGAGAGATCATTTTCGTCACTTTTCATAGTACTTTTACTTGCTTGATTGGCCAATTTGTTTTTCAAAATCGACTGGATATCAAAATCAAACTTGCACGGCTTCAGACAACTTCGATCCGGGCGCAGTATTCCTCTTTCATCCCGGGAGAGTGGAGTTAATGGTTCTCTGTCGGCTGCCGGCCTCGCTTTATTGCCCGATTTGTATGAAACCCGAGTCGCGGTCTCCTCGCAAAGTTTCCCAATCTATCCCTTGGTGGTCAATGTGTATGACCCACACGCCCAACTAAGGTAACAAGATCATAGATCAATGGTAAATACTTTCGTCTCAAGTACGGCACCTAGGACAACTGCGCTAGAAAGGGTTCTGACGTAGCATTTAACTTGTCTTCGGTCACCAATTCACCCCTCTCAGTTCGTTCGAAATCCATCCACTGGCGATCCTTCTACCAGCGTCAAAATGATTTCCCTACATGCGTTGGCGTCTTTTATCCTACCTGCTCAGTCAACGTCGCTGAAAGTTTTTGACCAGCCAGCCAAATCTGGTCAGAGGTCTTACAATCCTAGCGAGCCGCCACCTGCGGCGCGGTTTACCGCCAAGATACACCCTCGAGAGCGAGAGGTTTCGGCGGAAGTGAACGGGTTTTTCCTCAATCACTGGCCATTTGCAGATTCGAAATCCAGGAAGAAGTTCGTGGCTGCGGGTTTCCCACAAGTCACCTGCTTCTACTATCCTACCGCGTTGAACGACAGGATTTCTTTCGCCTGTTATCTTTTAACGCTTTTGTTCTTAATTGATGGTGAGTGACGCTCTTCCAAAAGCTTGAGCAACAGACCAATTGAATGTCTTGAAATGCTTTCATGGCCAAATCAGCTAACGCTGTGTTATGATAGATCTCTTGGAAGACATGTCTTTTGAAGCAGGCTCTTCCTACAACGAGAGACTCATACTACTCTCCAAGGGGGAGTCGTTGCCAGATCGCAGTGTCCCAGTCGAATGGATAACTTATGACCTGTGGAATGATATGAGGACTTGCGATGAAGTCCTTGCCAATGAGATCCTTGAACCAGTATTTACGTTCATGCGCGCTCAAACTGACAAGACGCGACTACAAATCAAGGAGTTGGGGCACTATTTGAAGTATCGAGAAAAGGACGTTGGCAAAGCGTAAGTCTACTCGGATATCTTTTATTCCCCTTTTGTTCAAGAATTCACAATGTCTAGATTGCTATCTGCTCTCATGAGGTTTAGCATGAGCCTGCATCTTAGCCCTGAAGACCTGAGTTCGGTCGAAGATATTGAGCTTAACTGTTCAAAACATATCTCTGTTGTCAACGATATCTATAGCTGGGAAAAGGAGTTGAAGGCTTCCCAGATAGGCCATAAGGAAGGATCCGCTTTGTGTTCATCCGTGTCAGTCTTGACTTCGGAGACTAGCCTGGACTATTCGGCGTCGAAGCGCATATTGTGGATAATGTGTCGCGAATGGGAGCTTCTTCATAGTAAGCTGGTCACTAGTAGAATTTCTAGTGCTGCGGGCTGTGGTTCTGACTTGCAGGCGTTTATGAAAGGCTTGGAGTATCAAATGAGTGGGAATGAGGCGTGGAGCAGCATTACACCGAGATACCATTCGATTTAGATCAACATTGTACATGGATTCGAAACGAAAAAAGAGTTCGATCACGATTTCCTTTCCAGTTCAACGTCGGATCCTACTTCAGCTTCGTTACTCTAGAATAATTTGTTGTGGTATCTACTTCACCTGCCTCACTTAAAGTCTTGTATACAGTAGTCTACATTTGAACTTTGTATGATGTTGTGTATGACAGCCTCTATTTTTCATCCGTGAGATTACAACAGTATAAGGCATATGACATACTGAGAGACGCCATGCATTTGCTTTTCGGCATCGATGTTCCCTTTCCAATAGCATAGACTCTATTTCTGTCCAAGTTTAGATGAACCTACGATGGAGAAGCATCAAGTCCTTTGTCGTACGAGCCACTGAGATGGTGTAAGAAAAAGGCTCTCAATGAACGTTTTCATGCTAGTTCTAGGCTAAATATGTATAATTTGTAAGACCGGGTAACTCCTTATGCCTTTCCATCTAATGTAGCTCTCTTTCACCAGTTTCCAATTGCTGTCTGACGTCCAAGCGGGACGTTGGCTTTGGACAAGGAAACATCTGCGTCCATAAAGTCGGCGCTGTCGATGGATGCAGCGGAAGTTGCACCACTAATAGCAGCCGCTAGCTTAGCTTCCAATCGCTCATCATGAACGTGAACAATGTCATCCGGGAGCCGTGCCAAGGCTTGGTCAAGATCCTCGATAATATCTCGAACATCCTCTGTTCCAACTGAGAATCGAATGAATGCCTGCGCGAGATCACATCAGTCAATGCAACATCAACAGTTGATTTAATGTATGATACTCACCGGGGTGATTCCAGCCTCTCTTCTATCCTTCTCGGACATGATGACATGAGTGGAATTCCAAGGGTGAGTGGCCAGAGTCTTTGAGTCTCCAACACTATTGCGTACGATTTAGTAAATCCTCTGTTCTTTAATAATGCTGATCTTTACTTACTTTGTTTGATGGGATATAACCTTGACAAAATTCATAAGCATCTTGCTAGCGACGTCTCCTCCCTTGGGGCCAAATGAAAGGACGCCTCCGTAACCATTTCTGAGGTACTTTTTGGCGTTGCCGTGATACTGATTCTTTTCCAAGCCTAGCCGATTTGTTAGGACATCCAAATGATGAGTTTGTGCCGACAAATTTAACGTGCTAACTTACCGGGGTAGTTAACCCACGCAATTCTTGGATGTGATTCCAAGAACTGAGCCACAGCCATGGTGTTTTTGGTGTGTCTCTCACAGCGTAGACTCAGTGTCTCCATTCCGATGAGCAGCTGCTGTGCTGAGGCTGGACTCAGTATTGACCCAACCTCCATCAAGATATCAATCCTCATCGCCATCGCAAACGAGATATTGCCGAAGGCTTTCCAGTATGAGAAGCTCATTGGGCTATCTTTCTTGATCATACGAGGAAACCGGTGACCCGCTGCACCCCAGTCGAAAGTGCCACAGTCAATGATGACTCCGCCGACGGTGGTACCATGACCACCCATCCACTTCGTGGCGGAATGCAAGATGATGTCGGCGCCAAATTCAATAGGGCGGCACCATGTGCCACAGGCTCCGAATGTGTTGTCAACCTTTCACTGTGTCAGCTTTTGGGATTGGCCCTTCGTTATAAGTTTCTTGCTACTTACCACAAATGGAACGTGGTTCTCATGTGCCACATCTGCCAATCCCTGAAGATCGGGAATGCTGCAGCGAGGATTTCCAATACTTTCGACGAAGAGAAGCTTGGTATTTTCATCAATGTGTTTGGCAAACTCTTCTCTGGTCTCTTGTTTGGCCCACTTCACAGTGATACCAAGTCGCGGAAGCAGTGTCTTGAAAAGGCTGTAGGTGCCTCCATATAAGTTGATTGAGGCCACAACATTATCACCGGCTCCTGCTAGGCCGATGATTGTGTTGAAAATTGCTGCCTGTCCTGAGGCTGTGGCTACAGCAGCAGTGCCTCCTTCCAAAGCGGCGGCCCGTTTTTCGAAGACTGCAACCGTTGGCTGCGGATAAGTTTCAGTAAAATTGAGACAATTACCAAGATAACAGGCATGAAAGACTTACGTTCGATACTCTACTGTAGAAGTAGCCTGCTTCTTGGGTGGCACACACCCTCTTGGCATGCTCACTATCTGTGAATATGAATGACTGAGATAGTATTTGAGTTAGGTAATTGACCATGACCCATCGGGGATAATCAGATATAAAGGCTCACCACGCTGTTATAGATTGGGACTGCCCGAGCATGTGTTTCTATGTCCGGTCGGTGTCCTCCGTGAACTTGAAGAGTGTCATATCGAAGGCCGTCGTCAAACTTCTCGACTTTGTAGGGCTGGAAAGCATCGTGCCCCTCAGGTAAAACGCTAAGAGAGACGGGGGTTGAGCTCGCCAACGGAATGTCATGGATCGGTTCTCCCATGGTGAGAAGATGGTTTTGAAATTGATGTTTTGGAGAAATGTCGGACAAGTTAGAGCTGCAAGTGATAGATATCTATACTTCAAGCCTAGTATTGTCCGGGTGTTCACTAATGGTGTTGCTGAGATCTCAGTTATTCTTATCCGGGCTTCGGCTGCCTTCCCTGTTGGGAGTTGCGGCGGCCGACACCTCGGAACTCGCATACTTCGGGAAAAGCCCGAGCCCAACGATTCAAACCTCGCAAGCTCCGAGCTTTTTCCAGGCAGTATCCGCGACGTATAAGCCGATTTTGCCAAGCGGTTACGGTTTCTCAAGCGCGCGGTTCGATCCAGATTTTCATGAAGCCATCAATACATCGCGATGAAATCGTTCTTTGATCTCGATAGCCTTCTATTACGGCATTATGCTCACGACTATACCAATGGAAACCACAGCTTGGCCATGACCTTTTTCGGTCTCACTGTAGGACTGATCGTTTTGTTATGCGCACTCTTGCCAGACAAACAAAAACTCGTTCCTGGTGTTCTAGTCGTGGGTGGGAATGCTAAATACAGCATCAAGGCAAATCGAGAGCGGTTTCGCCAAAATGCAAAAGAAATGCTTCAAGAAGGGTACAAGCGCGTATGTTGCCTCCTAAAGAACAAAATACCTGAGTCATTCTTACAGTGTTTAGGCGAAAGGCGACTTCTTCTACGTCCCCAGTCCACTAGGAGAACGTCTGATGATTCCCTCGAAGTACTTAGAGGAGCTCAAGACGGCCCCAATCGACCAGGTAGACTTTGTTGCTACGTTTATCGAGGTAATGAGATCATCCTTCTACTAAGTTAACTCATTCATGATGATTCTAATGCCGGAAAGATGTTCGAGGGCAAGTACACCACTATGGGGAGTAGATCGACACTGCATCCTCGCGTTGTTAAGGCGCAACTGAATCATCATCTCGGTAGGTGGTTCTACATAAGTCATGAGAGTTGATATGATCTTTCTAACAAATTTGTAGCCGACGTAATGCCGGCAGTGCAGAGAGAAATAGTTGACGCATTCAATGACACATTTCCTGCTTGTGAAGGTTTGCAATAATTATGGCCTTGACGAATGAGTTTTCTCCGCTAACCCGAACAGATTGGACGCCCGTCCCTGTCGTGCACACATTGACGCAGATTGTGGCAAGAGTCTCGAGTTGTATGTTCGGTGGCACCACTCTATCTCACAATCGAGAATGGGTACAATCATCTATCGACTTTGCCATTGACGGCTTCATTGGCGCTCAGAAGCTGAAAAGATACCCCGAGTTCCTGAAGCCACTTGCAGCTCGTTTTATTCCGGAGATTGCTAAGATCGCCGGCCATTACGCTGCTGCAGAAGCTGCAGCTATTCCACTGCTCGAGAGTCGCCTTCGCACTGGAGATAAAGCTGAAGATCTTCTATATTGGATGGCCGAGCAGGCGAAGGGCGAAGAACGTGACATGGCATTCCTGGCCAGTATTCTCTTGAAGATAAGCTTTGCTGCGATACACACGAGTGCAGCTGCACCTGCACAGCTCATTTACGACCTATGCGAACGTCCTGAAATCATTGAAACATTGCGGGACGAAGTCGAGAGCCTTACTGGCAACGATGATTTGATAACAAAATCGGGCTTCTTGAAAATGGTGAAGATGGACAGTTTCATGAAAGAGAGCCAAAGATTTAATCCTCTCCTTCTAAGTACGTTCACCCCAACGAGTCCTAGCCTTTCACAGTGGTCACCTAATACATCAACGTGTGCAGTCACATTCGAGAGAGTGATTCACCGGCCTTATACACTATCCTCCGGGTTTACAATTCCAGCTCATACCACCATTGGGATTCCAACGCAAGCTATCACAATGGATGAATCTTTTTATCCGGACCCCGAAACTTTCGATGCGTTTCGCTTTGCCAGGATGAGAGAAGAGCGCTCAGATATGAACGGTCGCGCCCAGTATGTCGCGTCGAATCCGACATCTTTGAGTTTTGGCTACGGGCGCCATGCTTGTCCAGGACGCTTCTTTGCGGCTCATGAGATCAAGGCCATAATGGCCCATCTGTTGAAAAATTACGAGATGCGATTTACACATGGACAGGGACGCCCGCAAAGTGTACGAGCGGAAACACAATATCTACCGGACCCATGGGCGACTGTGGAGTTCAAGAAGAGACTCTAGAGCGAATACTTAGATAGTTTTAGCGTGGCAATGAACCGCTTGGAGGTGCACTGAATGGAACCGGCTAATCGTCTCAACGCGTTTTCCTCTTTTTCCAGTGTGTCACCCACTACAAGTTCACTCAAGGAGGGCCCAACCTAAAGCCGATTTATTTCTGAGAGAACAAGCTCCAAGTTCCCAAGCAATTTCTCATCATACATTAGCTTTCGAGTGACTTCCTGGAATCTAGATATCCACCCACTGACCAGTGGTCTGAGTTTTTTGACAGCGTAAGGGAGCTCCGTGCTCGAGTCGTTGCGATAACAAGTCTGTCGCATGTACGCCACATCAGACAGTGGCAGCAGCCATTGTGTCACGGCTGGACTCCAAATTCTCAACGGGGCAGAACAATCTTCATCGGAACCTTTCCGTGTTGGGTGTGTCCGATTTCTCTTCCTGTACGCAGTACTGCGACAGATATGGCGAGGAACCTTTTGACCACGTGTACCAGACCATGTCTTCTTAGCTATCGTGGCCGTTCCCTGGAGAATTTCTGCCACATAGCCAACTTTTACTTTAAGCGGCATGCATAAGCCGTTGCTCTGGTGTAGCTGACCCCAGAATGTGTTGTAACTGAAGTGGATGCGCTGTAGGGTAGTTGAGCCGGGGAAGCCGCACTCATGAACCCCAGCAGCGCTTGGAAACAGCCCTAGTCATAAGGTGTGAAGTGGCTACGGCCTGTGCATAAGATGGAGGCAGAGCGGGCGTTTGGACAACTTCTATAACGTGTGCGCAATACATATTAATGTTGACTCGTGGGCATACTGATACGCTGGCGAATGACCAAGATCTAGGCCTCTCGGCGACGTTCCATTTTAGCAAACTTGAGGCTGACACAGCTGTTCAATTTCAGGGTGTGTTTCTCATTGATGGAACGCTAGACCTGTTACAGTGCTCCGGCGGTTGTGGCTCATCAAGCGTAACACTCGTATGTTTAAGCTTCTGCGAATGCATATGGGACCGGGGAAGTCAGAAATAAGGTTTCGGGCTTGGAAACCTTGAACCCGTCTTGAAGCCAATACATCCACAATTGTTTTGAAGTCCAATCAGATCTTCAATTCGAATGACTCGCTCTCCCGGCTGTTGCCAGGATTATCGGCTAATCTACGGGGAAGAGGTCCTTATAAGAAGAAACGGTCCGATCATCTTCGGATAGATCATCGGGTAGCGGCTGAGACCGAGGCCAGGAGAAGGGAGACTCTGCAAAAGCTTGGCGAAATATGTCCGTAACCCTGAGGTAACCAAAGAAAGTGGTGTCTGTAATCCCGAGGCGGGCAGAGGTTGATTAGTCAACGTAGGTGTATTTTGCACTCGTTTGGCTTTCGAGTCAGAATATTCGATTCATCTCATGATGTGTATTTCAAGATTCCGCTTTCTTGTTCGAAAATGTAGGTAGAAGAAGCTGCTCAAGATAGAAAGTAGATACGTCTCATGCATGCCCGCTCAAAGCTTCTTGTAGCTCCTCGAGACGGAGACAGATGGGCCGTAGCGAATTCTGGTGTGGCGCCCACCTCTGTCTGTCAACTGAATTGCGCAAAGATTCCAAGAAGCCTCCAAGCTGCCGTACTTGCAGCAGAATCAAGAAACCAAAAATCTCGCAACGTTCATGGAAAGTATCAATCTGATACTGTCCCAGCAATACAGGAATCCAACGGTGTGCATGACCGTATGCCTCAATTCTCCCGTCATCTCCGAGATTTGAGGCTTGAGAAGCACATTCCCACACAGATGCAATATCCTCTAATATAGCCATAATCTTCTCGGCTAGCAATATTGAGAATGTCATTACCCTAGAACGATTCCGGCACGAAGAGCAATGACTTATAGATCGGCATTGGGTTATCGACTTTTTAAGCAGATGTAGGGAGGTTTCCGCCATGCAAAAGGTTGTTACTTTGCTCTGCGTCTGCATTTTTTCGAGCAAATTCAGCGTTACGCCAACACAGCGGCAAGGCGCTGTGGCTGCGATGCTCGTCTGTGACCCCGGCCCAGTGATTTGGCTGCCATGGCTACGGTTAACAAGCAACGGACTTGGGGCATTTAAAGGAAAGCTGTGTGGGTGGTGGTGAGGGGTGAAAGGCACCGTGGAGCTGATACCGTGCGATGAGAGACTAGACGGCGCCCGTTTAGGGGCAACGAAATCATGAGAGATATCATGAGAGGTGTCATCCCTTGTGTGATTGCTCTTGGACCGCTGAACAGCATTCCATTGAGAATCATCTACATCCACTTAGCATCAATCATTTGATCTAGACAATGGCGGAAGCTTTCAGAAGCAGTATTGCGTAGCTGAAAGCTGGAGAGCTCTAACTCACCTGACGATGAGCTGCTTCTAGCAAAGCTAGTTTCCCGTGTGATTTGGACGTTGAACGGGGTTGTACTGGATGCAAATGCTTTGCTTAGGTCATGGCCTTCAGCTTCCTGTTCGGACAAGTTTATCTCGGCATCAAGTAATTGTAAGTCGTCCATATCAAACTCATGCAAGTCTGACTCCATGTAATCTGGAAGAGCCAGATCCTCAAAGTCAGGCGGTGTGCCAGACGACTCCTCTTCCAGCAGGGTGCTTGGTGATTGGCCCGAGCCAACGAATGTCGGGGTTTGGATGAGCAAATTGGTTGACTGGGAGTCCATGTCAATCTCGGCTCGCTCCGGTGACAAGATTTGATCCGATGCAGCACCCTTTGAGACACATTTGGGTTCAGACAACTGCTCCAATTGCGCCGATTGTAATCGCTCTTGGGGTGATTCAGAAGGGACCATCATCGGCGGTTCTTCTGACGTAGACGGCGTGATCTCGCGAGGCGTTGCGCTTTTGTGCGGCGCTGGGGGCCTTCCACCTTTGCGACGCCTTTGTGGTAGAGTATTGGAATATGTGCAAGCTAGATTTCGGTCTCGGCATCGTTGACAGCCAAATCTGTGTCCAGTACATTTCAACTGAGTGAGCAGGTCAGCGCGGTTTCTCATGAGGTTCAGTCAATCAATCGATTATACCTTCTTTGCTCGGCAGCCGTCACAAGCAAAATGGTTTGTGTTCTGACCCGGTTGCGGTAGTTGATGTGTACTTGAAATGCATACGACCTCTCCATCTCGGTCTTCGGTTCGAAGCGTCGCAAACATGTCGAGAGAGCCGAGTTCTGCGTCTTAACTCAGAAAGTTTTCGGTAAGTTGGGACTAGACGAACGATATCACCACATTCTGGAGCAGAATATCTCCAATTTGAACCATCTGAAAGCTCGATAGACACCATCTGCATGTCGTGAGGCGGAGTCCGAGGAATGCAGGGTGCCTTGTCCATTGATGTAACTCTGGTCTAAGCTGCGTCTCCGCTGAATGTCTTGAGATAGAAGGTGATGAACTTTATTCCTAGTGTTGAACTCTAAATAAAGTTTCCCTCGCGCGGTCATTTCAGGATGAAGATTCCCAAATTTGCATTATTCTCGTACCACTTGTCGAGTCGTTTTGTCCACTGGGACCCAGTGGTCCGGACCTGGCTCAAAACACGAATATCCCACATCACGGGATGGCGCCATGACAGCGGCTATCATGATAGACCGAGGCCCGGGTTGCCAAACATGAGTCCCCCAAGTTATCTTCCCCGCGATGCCTACCCCGGCTCCCACACAATACGGAGCGTGTCACTAATCACAAAGCAAAACTCAATTTCTCTAGGAAGTCAGGCAAAATCAACATCTTCGTCCGGTGTCCCATCCCTCACAAAGCTCGACAGTAGTCAGGCATAAATGCCAGAGCTCAAAGTTCGCTGGACGGTTGGGATTGCTGTCTTGGGAGCAAACCCCGGACCGAGCCAACCGTGCTCAAAGTTTGAGTTATTCATATACAAAACGTCGTCTCAAGTTCCCTTCTGGAAGACCCTGAATATCATGTATGTGGATGAGACTACGAGTCTCGGCGTATCAAGGAGCGGGCCTAGCCACGTTCTACCATCTCCACTGTCTGCTTGCTCCACCGACCTCCGATCGAGGCCGACATTCCGTCCGGGTTGAAAGCCGTGCATAACCCTGCAACAGTCGAATGAAACTATCCACTTCCTCGGCGCCCCTCGCGTGGCCCTCGATCGTTCACCGCTGTTTCCCTTGCCCCCCAACTGCCCCTCTCTTCTTGATTGACAGGTCGTATCAATATCAGGGTTGTACTCGCAAGATCGGCAAAGTGATTTCTAGGCGAGAACCCCGTAGACGAAATAGGATGTATGCCGAAGAAATACGATAGCCTCGCCACGCTGCTTTTCCCATCTTGGTCCCGGGGAGGTGGAAAACACGCGCTGCGATGTGCAACGGGGTAATAATGGACCGTTTTTCGAACAGGGGTAGTAAAGCATGGAATTCATTTCCACACGTTAAGTAAACCCTGACTTCTCGCGGGGTTATACCCTCTAGATGTCTCTAGATGTTGGGTTCGAGTACTTCCGTACGCCTCAGGATTTCAAGGAGTAAATGGTGAGCGATTGAGGCAATTTTCACACTCTTTCAGACCTACTAGTAGCAGTCGATTGCACCGCATGAATCAATATGCAATGACAAGCCCACATGGTGGTTCAAAATGCCTCGGCGGATTGGTCAAATTGCTTGAGTTGGGCGCTTGAATATGAAAGATTTTTGTTTCGATGAGCCCAAACTGCAAGACCGCTGGGGAACGATTTTTGAGAAGCTATTTCAAATGCTATATCTGGCTATTGCGAGTCCTGTGACTTGCCCATTTTGGCCTACTTGGTTAGATCCTGAACCTGTCGATGCCAATATTGGAATCAAGTTGACGCAGTGGCCTCTGTAGTGCATCAGAATGTCGCAAACTCGAAATTCGTGCTCCTGGATTCATGAGTCTTTGCTTATTCAAAAGTCGATTTTAGCTTTCATAAATAATTAACACAACTGACGTTCAAATAAAAACTCGACTCTGAAGATGAACGAGCAACTTAAGCTTCAAGTTGACACGACATCAACTTATTGAAAAGTTTCCAGATATTCACCAATTATGCAGTTTCAGTATAATAGCGACGTGCTGACAGTTCAAGCATTTCGAACTTGGCGTAAAACTCATTTATTAATCCTTGGTTTGAGGCTCTGAATGATAGGACGGTATCTCAGCCCGTACGCTTTTGGGGTGGATTCACAGATTGAATCTTGCCCTCCTATGGAACATGGATAGAGCTTCTATCGTTGACTCCTTGCGTATGGGGAGCATAGAGACGTATCCACATTTGATTACTTACACTTATAATTGAATCGTCCTCCCACTAGTGCGTCTCTGAAGATCGATTTGTTTCAATCTAGTTAAAAGGTTGTCAACTAAGGTAGGCACATTCCTTCAGCGTACCTCAAGCTCGAAAGTTGGCATCACGCAGTCCTTGACGATAGCAATTCAATACAGGCAGCCTTTTGTCCCGGATGAGCAATGACATTATTCGCGAAGAGTCATTCATGATCTAGGGTCCTATGCCAGGAAACTCGTAATGTCTCCTGCGTTTGGGGTACGGCGCTTCTTGGAGCCTCTCGGTAAAGTGGGTGTCGCCGTGCCGGTGACTTTGCCCAAGTAACCTGCCAACTATACCTCACTTTTCTCAGATGGGTGACAGGAAATGTCATTTTTCCTAGGTACTTCCTCCTTGGTGGCTACTCCCAATCACATATCCTGTCGCCACCAACACAGAACGAACCTCAGCTATCACGCCCCGAGGCCCCACCCCCGCATTTCAGCAGGACATCCCGACACTCCTCATGCTTTCTCAATGAAACCTCATGGTGGTCCCGGGGCCTCTATACAACTGTTTTTGGAAAATTTGCAACCCAATACCTCCCAGGGTTCGGTCATCGTAGTGTCTGTCTTTAAATATGAGCCATTTGGGCGAGCCCGGGACGCTCTTGAGACCCCTTTTCCTCACCCGTGATCATATCATCCATCTCACTTCGTTTCTGCTCTCGACTATCGTGGTATTCTTTGCAAAAGTAACACGATGTCAATCTTGCCTGTTCAGGAGATTCGGCTGCAAGAAGATGTGGACACTAAGTTGAAAGAACAAACGCTGGGAACAGTTCAGCTTCGCCACAATGAAACCAATGAAATCATTCTGGTACCCACGCCCTCAAATGACCCCAACGATCCTTTAAACTGGTGAGTGTTGATTCATTCCAAATTGCTACGAATACCACGAATTGAGGGAGACTTGCGCTGAATCATAACGTACCAGGTCACCAACACGCAAATACTACATTTTTTCGCTGACATGCTTTGGAATTTTCTTCGCCCATGCCGTCATTGTCGGGCCTGCTGTTGCCCTAGAGTTGATCACTCTCGAATTCTTCGGCCCTGGGCCTGACACTGTGCCAAACAACATTGCTAAAGCATCATACCTTCAAACCGGGTGTTCACTCATGATTGGTGCGGGCAATCTTATTTGGGTGCCTCTGGCAATCAAATACGGCAGAAGGCCCGTTTACATCGCGTCCTACCTTTTACTTACGGCAAGTTGTATATGGAGTGGCGCAGCGGCTTCTTTTGGCAGTGCACTTGTTGGCAGGCTCTTTCTCGGCTTTGCTTGTGCTGCTGCAGAAATCGTCGCACCCTTGACAATCACTGACTTGTTCTTCTTGCACCAACGCGGGCGTGCCATGGTGTCAGTCTATCCTTCTTTGCTTACATCCCAGGAGCGCCTCAATTAGGATGAACTGATTCTGACAATCTGCATTGGCATCTACACATGTTCCTTATCTGCGGGTGTTGGTGTGGGCGTGGTGTTTTCGGGCCTGATCACACAAACTTACAGCTGGAGGATGATATTCTGGGTATTTTCTGCCTTCGTCGGAACTTGTACGGTTCTAGTACTGTTCACCTTCCCCGAAACACACTATCGAAGGCGATATGCAACGGAGCTAGAGGTGGTACCATCCAGACACGAATCCACCAAGCCGTCTTCTCAGTGTCTTGAGAGCCCTCCTTCTTCTTCGCACACGTCATCTCCATCGACGTGGAAGACCTATTTGGCGACTATGACAGTCTTCTCGGGGACTTACACTAGCGAACCTCTACTGGCTCTGATGTTCCGTCCTCTTGTCGCCATTACTTTGCCAGCCGTATTCTGGGCGACCTTAATCAACGCAATCACCACTGGCATGATCGTTGTGATATCTGCGAACTTCTCGAATGCTTTCTCGACGGTCTACGGTTTTCATACCTGGCAATCCGGTTTGACGTATCTCTCTACGATATTTGGCTCCTTCTTAGCCATCTTCTGCGGGGGACACTTCACAGATTGGATGGCAGACAAACTGACGATTCGGAGTGGCGGAACCAGGATCCCCGAAATGCGGCTACCTGCAATGATAATCAGCTTGATCACGGGTCCATTATCATGCATCTTATACGGGGCAGGCTTCGAGAAGAAATTACATTGGATTTGTCCCACTATTGGTATCGGCCTTGGTACGTTTATCCGCCTTCCTCTCGGTCTCTTTAGATACGCATATGTTATGGAAGGGATATTGAGGCGTCACAAGCTAACTTGGATAGTAAACTTCACCACTGTTCAATCAAACAACGTGGCTCTTGTGTATATTCTTGATTCTTATCGGCCCATAGCCGGTGAGGTTATAGTAACGCAGTCTTTCTTCAAAGGTGAGCCAATTCCTGAGATGTGCCTATGGCATATTTGTGTGAGATACGACTCTTGAGGGGGCGTTTCTTTGGGTTCATGTAGCTGATGTTCCAGTAGCCGTTTTTGGATTTCTTCTCAGCTTTTACGTGAATGTTTGGGTCCAAGAGTCAGGATATCTCTCCGTATTTGGAACCTTAGCGGGTATATCGGCGGCTGTGTTCTTGTCAACCATACCCTTTTACTTTTTTGGAAATCGAATGCGACAGGCAACATGGAAGTGGAAGTTTTCCAGGCAGTTCCTGCACTGGCACCCAGATCGGGAGGTCGGCGAATAGGCTACTGTAGCAAGCGCTTCATTCAGTGCCCGCAAAATCCTTCGTCGCTGTAGGTAGATACTTGGGCGATATCTGGAAGGAAAAAGGCAAGAGGGAACTAGTGAATTGTTCGCTTTGTTTCAACATATATGCCTTAGGTTAACGTGACAATTTCCTATGGCTTTTCCGACAACCTCGTCGCTTTCAGTCCATGTATAGCCCCCCATTGACAAACATGTGTTCTCCATTGACCCATCGGGATCGTTCTTCGCAAAGAAACGCCACAGCATCCGCTATTTCTTCTGGCTTGCCTAGCCTTTTCGCCGCCGGCGTTGCTTCAATTGTAGGCCCTAGGACCTTCATGGCTTCCTCTCCGGCACTCAAGAACCCGTGCGTCGCAGTAGGGCCAGGGGACACAGCATTGACGGTGCATCCATATTTTGGGGGAAGCTCTTTTGCCCAAACCCGGGTGAAGGAATCCACCATCCCCTTGGTCCCGGCGTAAATAGTTTGTAGAGGAGGGGCAGCGCGGGAGCTAATGGAACAAATGTTGACGATGCGTCCACTTCCACGAGTAATGTATGGCAGAGCCTGCTGCGTCAAGAGAAATGTTCCACGACCGTTGAGATTGACCAAAGAATCCCAGTGATCGAGCGTTTGTTCCTCAAATGGCAAATTGATGGCAATTGCGGCGTTATTGACAAGAATGTCAATGTGACCATAAGCCTCAACTGCACCTTCTATCAACTTCCTCGGTCCGTCCACAGTGCTAATGTTGGCTTCGATCGCGATTCCTGGGGTGGAAAGTGCCGCCACTGCTGCGGCCGCTTCATCTGCTAGGGAGGCGTTTGGGTAGTTGATTACGGCGTGGGCTCCTCGAGCGCTGAGCTCCTTCGCTATTGCATGCCCAATACCACTGCAACTACCGGAAACCACGGCAATCTTGCCCGCGAGACTCTGGTTTGCGGCCATGAGGGTTGAGCTTGAATGGGGAAGGGTGTGGTTCCAGGCAGATTCGCAATCTGATAAGCGGACTTTATGTAAATACTAGCAGTACTCAATTTTGAAATGTTTGACAGCATCACTTGGGACCTTCTCAAGTTGTAACACACATGAACCTCGTATTATTCAGCCCAGAACCACGATGGTCGCTTGCCCCGGCTCGTGTCGATCCCCCGCTCCCGCCCCTCAAACCCACTGCCGACGTGGTATCGAATCCCGGCACGGAAAGTGGGGGATGGCGTGGAGTCCACTTGCCGTCCCGCTGCTCGGGTCCTCAAGCAATACGGCAGAATAGTTGCGTCGTCCCTCCGACGTGCCTCACCTGGTATCGTCTGAAGGGGTGGTCTGAGAAAAATTTTCTCGAACCCGGGGTCAATGATGAGACCACACTGCAACTCGCTCGAGGGACAGCAGTTAAAGCTACTGGGGGAAACATGATTAAAAACCAAGCGGCTTCTGCTGATATTAAAAAAGCAATATGGGATGGCCTGGTCAAGCATATACTCACTTCTTACATGCAAACTCATCGAAGCCTATTTGATGCGCATTTAATCTCTCTCTTTGGAAATCAGATAGGCATTACACCACACCCACAGTGCTCGAATATGATGCAAGAATAGCAACTCTGTGACCTTCGGGGAAGATATCGGAAGCATCAATATGCTAAATCAATTCTGACGGCGGCCTGTGGTTGGGTTGAAAGGTCCTGAGTACGTAGTGGGTCTAGAATGACTCTAGGTAGATCATGATATCAGAAGGTCTTTGTGCCATTGTCGTACCCTAGTCGTTGGGGAGATGAATCAAAATTTCAATATGGAAGTTTATGTGGTCTGAAAATCTTTTGCCACATACTCGGCACCAGGAGCATCATAAGCCCATCTCAAAACATGTGTTCCAGCCGTTGACTTTACAACGAATTTCATACCATTTGTTACGTATTCACTTAGTGTTTTGGGTTGACTATCATCAAAAGATGCAACTCAGTTACTATATACTCAAACCCAACCAATACAAATCACTAACGTCACATAATCCCTGTAGTGACACGCATAGATTCCCAAGACTCAAATTTCTTCCCCGTGTTAGCGGGTGTCTTTGCTCCAACCCCCGGGCGGCCCTTGGCCCAATCCTGCAGACCCGCCTTGCTCATTCCCGTGTACTTTTGCAATTCCTCCTCTGAAATCTCAACTCGGTTTCGGTCTTGCATGCGTTGATAGAGTGATCTTTTCTTCGGCGTGGATGCTGGCTTCAACTCGGAGGTTTCGTGCTTTATAAGCGGTGTTTGACTGTCGGTTTTGCTGAGTTGATCAGACATATTGATCTAAACGCTTGTGCTTCAGAGAAAATGGTTTGTAGACAGCTCTCGATCGGACTGATCTGGTAGCGAGAGTTTCGTTCAGAGTAAGTATGGGCGGAAGGTAGTCCTGATATGATTTGGTTCTGAGCAGAGAAGCAGTCTCCAGTGATGTGCTGGCACAAATGGTGTTTTCTTGGCGCCAAGTGGTTATTATTTTGATTTGTTGTAGACTCAAGTCGAATACATGTATCCTCTCTTAGAGGCGTTGTCGTAGCCGATAATTATAACTGGATCTTCCAGTTGCCAAGGTGCATTGACACAGTGAATAAAGTGCCGGCCACTTCCGTGGTGACGAATGAGGCCTTGTTAGTTGACTACTTTACGGCGCAGCGGGGAGCAACGCCCAGCTGGTCACGAGGACTGAGGCACAGCTCAAGCACCTTCCTGTCCTGGGCTCGAAGTGGATATGCTGGTCGCTTGCAAACACGTATTGGCTTGGTAGCCATCGCGGAGCCTCAAAGTGGAACGAGCGGGCAGTCACATGGATTCGTCGGGCAACGTGAAGTTGTCGCAAGCTGATAGGGGGAGAACGGCAACCCCGAGAAGAGCGGCAGCGCGCTTGCCGGCACGGCCATAAACATTATCTCAGCTCACTATTCATGGAATCCAATGCGAATTGGCTTCGACTTATTCATGTTGTATTCTTCATTATCTATCATACACAGCCAGGTAAATGGCTGGAGAAAGACATCTATCGCATCATCACAGTAAGATCCGATGATGGAACTCGCGCCGCTCGCTCTCGAGAACCAATGGACCACCACTGGGTCCGCTAGCATCTAGACTTAGGGTCACCCGCTGCAAGTCAGCAACGACCCGTACTGTCTCGCCAATGTTTTGGTAATCGATCTCATGATGACCAGCTGTCTCGTCATTCTCCTCCTTCTTGACCTCGCGAATCTCCACATTGGGGTAGGGCAGCCGTCCTTCGCGCAGCGGTACGATGAGCACGGGAACATGCAACTCGGATTCTCCAAACTTGGCGTCCGACTTGTCTACTCCCAGGCTCTTGAAGTTGCCGCGCTTCCGGCCGCCGATGAGCCATGTGTCTCCTGGACCAGTCACATCAAAGCTGAACTCGTAGTCCCTATTGATGCCTTTGCCATCACTGACAGCCGTATCCCAGATGCGAGTCCAGCGCAAACGTAGATTAGCAGACAGCAACTGGTTGACGGCCAGGGTCGAACCTGCTATTTGTTCGTCGGGTGGCGGAAGCTGAATGTCGACCGAGTGGAAAACGGGAATGGAGGGGACGTCGACAGGGATGAGGATTGATCGACTGATAGACTCGATTCCTTTGATGGTTAACTTTGGATACGTTGACTGCCAGGAAACAAGGAATGCTTGAAGAGCTTTAGAGGTGTCTTCTTTGCCGCCCGGGACTGTGCCCAGACCTCTGAAGATATTCCCTGTTAGTAAAGGCGATACGAAGGCCGTAGAAACCTCGCCGAGGAGAGCAGCTCGCTCCAAGTCATAAGCCGAAAGGCTAGACCGCACCTCTGCCAGTACGCGGTTGATCAAAAGGCCTGAGAAGGAGGAAAGAGAAGATTCTTCGATGTACTTTGACAGGGAATCTTCAACAAGGGCAATAATCTCATCCAAGACAACGCTGTAATGAAGCTTAAGATACAGGGTCCGCTGGGTCTTGGGTGTGGTGTTGCCTGAAGCTTTGCGTGTGATCTTGTAAAGCAAACTGGCAGGCTGCTTCGGAAACACCATGATGGACTTGTTTGGTGGAGCTGCAGAATGGGCAGCAAAGACATCTGAGTCGATCAGATGTGTTTTGAACACTCTGAGTGGGCTCAACGAGGCTGTTGAGACGCTGAAGCGGGAGAATAAGGCGTTGTGCTTGAAAACGTCCTGTACATTGACGCCCAAGGCGAGTGCCACTGGGACTGAGAACACATTGGAGTATGTGAAAGTGCCCTCGTCTGTAGTGTACGTTATTTCGACTCTAGCCGATATGCTCGGAACATCTTGCTCGATGGTGTACGGGAAACGCATTTTGATGGCGGACGACGCGGAGATGCTTCCGAAGCGGAAAAGTCCGGCCTCCAAAGGCTTCTCGTATTCTAGTGTAGGTCCAAGAAACGTTGCTTCGGTTGAAATGATTCGAAGGCCGCCAGTCGATGGCTTGACCGAAAGCTCACAGGACTTGATAGTGTTCCATCCCGTCAAGAGTTCCAAATCAAGTGAATTGTTCTTGTCCAATTGAATGTCTCTTGCCGCCGTTAAGCGACAACTCAAACCGCCAGTGGGGCGATAGAGTTCCAGGTCGGGAAGACGGAAGATCTGCGCCGTCTTGCTGGGTGTTTGGTTAACATCCCGCTCCCAGTGTAAGTCAACTTTGTTGCAAATCAAATCTGCCCGGTCAATCCTGTAGTGACCGGCGACATTTGTCTAGCATCTGTTAGTTCAGCTTCTCTCGTATCGTCAGCATACTACTTACAGTGCTGGTAAGCCGCAACTCGTTGATCCCTGGCTTGAGAATGTTCGCTTCGGAAGTGTGTAACCAAACCTCCTTTGTCCCCCCGGATGACGTCCTGGACAAGCGTATGGCGGCCTTCTCCAGGCTTAGGTCATCTATGAGCAAGCTTCTTAGTTTAATGGTGAGAGAGAAGCAATCTTTGCCGGTGTGGTAGGCTGGATGCCCGACAACTTC